TACAGGGACATTCTCAAAGATAGACCACATGTTAGGGCACAAATTAAGTTTCTACAAGTTCAAGAAGATTGAAATCATATCAAGCATCTTCTCAGATCACAATGGCATGAAACTAGAAATCAATTGCAACAAGAACATGCAAAGACATTTGAAAACATGGAGGCTAAATAGCATGTCATTGAACAATGAATGGGTTACCATGGAGATCAAGGAAGAAATGAAAAAATTCCTGGAAACCATTGAAAATGAACACACAACAACATAAAATCTATGGGATGCAGCGAAAGCATTCTGAGAGGGAAGTTCATAGCACCACAGGCCTACCTCAAGAAACAAGAAAAATTTCCAATAGACTATCTAACCTCACAACTTAGAGAACTAGAAAGCAAACAGAAAGAAAATCCCAGAGCAAGTAGAAGGAAGAAAATAGTAAAGATCAGAGCAGAGATAAATGACATGGAGACCAAAAAAAACAATTCAAAGGATCAATGAAACAAAGAGCTGTTTTTTTAAAAGATAAACAAGATTGATGGACCCTTAGCTAGACTCACCAAGGAACAAAGAGAGAGAACCCAAATAGACAAAATCAGAAATGAAAGAGAAGAAATAATAACTGACACCATAAAATTACAAAGGATCGTTAACAAATATTATGAACAATTATACGGCAACAAATTCAACAATTTAAGTGAAATGGACAGATTTCTAGAAACACATAGTCTCCCAAAACTAAACCTGGAAGAGATAGAAAACTTGAACAGACCAATAACAACAAAAGAAATTGAAGATGTAATCAAGACTCTCCCAGCAAACAAAAGTCCAAGCCCGGATGGCTTCACGGGGGAATTTTATCGAACATTCAAAGAAGAACTAATACCCATTGTCCTCAAACTACTTCAAAAAATTCAAGAAGAAGGAAGACTTCCAAACTCTTTTTATGAGGCCAGCATAATTCTAATTCCAAAACCAGAAAGAGACACTACAAAGAAAGAAAACTACACGTCAATATCCCTGATGAACATAGATGCCAAAATCCTGAACAAAATGCTAGCAAATCAAATCCAGCAATACATCAAAAAAATTATTCACCATGACCAAGTGGGATTCATTCCAGGGATGCAAGGCTGGTACAATATTCACAAATCAATAAATGTGATTCACCACATAAATAAAATGAAAATCATATGATCATATCAATAGATGCTGAAAAAGCATTCGACAAAATCCACCACCCATTTCTGATAAAAACGCCCATCAATGTGGGAATAGAGGAATCATATCTTGATATAATAAAGGCCATATATGAAAGACCTATAGCCAACATCATACTCAATGGACAAAAACTAAAAGCATTTCCCTTAAGAACAGCAACAAGACAAGGATGCCCACTTTTGCCACTCTTACTTATCATAGTACTGGAAGGCTTAGCCACAGCAATTAGACATGAATAAAAAATAAAAGGGATCCAAATTGAAAAAGAGGAAGTGAAACTGTCATTATTCACAGATGACATGATACTATACGTAGATAACCACAAAGATTCCATCAAAAATTTAGTAGACTTAATAAATGAATTTGGCAAAGTACAGGATACAAAATTAGCATCAAGAAATCAACGGTATTTTTATACACCAATGATGAACTCACAGAAAGAGAAACTAAAAAAAAAAAATCCCATTTACCACTGTGGCAAAAACATTAAGATACCTAGGAATAAACTTAACCAAAGAAATAAAGGACCTATTTGCAGAAAACTACAGGTCATTGAAAAAAGAAATAGAGGAAGATATAAAAATGTGGAAGCACATACCCTGTTCATGGATTGGAAGAATTGGCATCATTAAAATGTCTATACTACCCAAAGCAATCTATAGATTCAATGCAATCCCCATCAAAATACCAATAACATACTTCACAGAACTAGAACTAATACTTCAAAAGTTTATATGGAACCAAAGAAGACCCCAAATACCCATAGCAATCTTGAAAAAGAAGAACAAAGTTGGAGGGATCACATTATCAGATTTCAGGTTATACTACAAAGCCACTGTAATCAAAACAGCCTGGTGCTGGCACAAGAACAGGCAGATAGATCAATGGAACAGAATAGAGAACCCAGAATTGGACCCCAGACTATATGCTCAACTAATATTTGACAAAGGTGGTAAGAGCATACAATGAAGTAAAGACAGCCTCTTCAATAAATGGTGTTGGGAAAATTGGACAGCTACATGCAAAAAAAAAAAAAAAAAAAAAATGAAACTAGACCATCAATTTACACCATACACAAAAATAAACTCAAAATGGATAAAGGACTTAAGTGTGACTCATGAATCCATAAAAATCCTAGAAGAAAATGTAGGCAACAAAATTTCAGACATCATACGGAGCAGAATTTTCACTGATACATCACCTAAGGCAACAGAAACAAAGGAGAAAATAAACATATGGGACTACATCAAACTCAAAAGCTTCTGCACAGCAAAGGAAACAACCATCAAAATGGAAAGGCAACCCACTCTATGGGAGAGCATATTTGCAATGATACATCAGATAAGGGGTTAATTTCCAATATATGTAGAGTCCTCATACAACTCAACAAAAGAAAGACAAGGAACCCAATTAAAAAATGGGCAGAGGACCTATATAGACGCCTCTCCAAACAGGACATACAAATAGCTAAGGGACATTTGAAGAAATGCTCAACATCACTAATCATCAGAGAGATGCAAATTAAAACAACAATGAGGTTTCACCTCACACCTGTCAGAATGGCTGCCATCAACAAATCATCAAACAACAAGTGTTGGTGAGGGTGTGGAGAAAAGGGGACTCTAGTACACTGCTGGTGAGAATGCAGACTGGTGCAGCCACTATGGGAAACAATATGGTGTTACGTCAAAAAATTAAAAATTGAACTGCCATTTGACTCAGTGATCCCACTTCTAGGAATATACCCTAAGAAGCCTGAAACACCAGTCAGAAAGAATATATGTACCGCCATGTTTGTAGCAGCACTATTTACAATAGCTAAGATCTGGAAATAGCCCAAATGTTCATCAGTAGGCAAATGGATAAAAAAGCTGTGGTACATATACACAATGGAGTACTATGCAGCTGTAGGAAAGAAAGATCTCTTATCCTTTGAGACGAAATGGAGGAACCTGGAGAGTATTATCCTAAGCGAAACAAGCCAAGCAGAGAAAGACAAATATTATATGATCTCACTTATTTTTGGAATATAATGGACATAACAGTCTGAGGAACAGGGTATTCCCAGAGATGTGGAAGTGGGGTACAGACTGACAATCCCCAGAAGAGGGGGTGGGGGGAGAAATAAACCACAGAACTTATATGCTTGTATACATGAACAATGGACATGGACAACAAAGCTGGGGACAGGGTGGGGAGGGTGGCAGAGGGGGGTATCAGTGGGGGAAAAAGAAGAAACATCTGTAACAAAAATAAACAAATTAAATTTAAAAAAATGGGCAAAAGACTTAAATAGACACCTCTCCAAACATACAAGTGGCCAAGAGACATATGAAAAAATGCTCAGTCACTAATCATCAGAGGGTACAAATAAAAACAACTATGAAGTATCATCTCACACTTGTCAGAATGGCCACCATCAACAAATCATCAAACAAGTGCTGGCCAGGGTGTGGAGAAAAGGGGACTCTAGTCCATTGCTGGTGGGAATGCAGACTGGTGCAGCCACTATGGAAAACAATATGATGTTACCTCAAAAAATTAAAAATTGATCGGCCATTTGACCCAGTCATCCCACCTCTAGAAATATATCCTAAGAAGCCTGAAACACCAATCAGAAAGAATATATGTACCCCAGCGTTCATAGCAGCACTATTTACAATTGCTAACATCTGGAGACAGCCCAAATGTCCATTAATAGATGAGTGGATAAAAAAGTTGTGGTACATAGACAGAATGGAACACTATGCAACTATAAGAAAGAGAGATCTTGTACCCTTTGAGATGACATGGAGAGACCTGGAGAGCATTATGCTAAGCAAAACAAGCCAATCAGAGAAAGACAAATACCACATGATCCCACTTATTTGTGGAATATATGAACAAAATAAGCTGATGAACAAAATAGACCTAGAGACATAGAAAGGAGTAAGGTTCAAACTGACAAACCTCAGAGGAGGGGGTGGGGAGACGGATGAGATAAACCAAAGAACTTATATGCATGTATGCGTAACCAGTGGACATAGACAACAAGGCTGCGGGGGGGGGGGGGGGGCGATGAGGAGGAGGGTGTCTAGGGAGGAAAAAGGCGAAACACCTGTAACAAAAATAAATTAATAAAAATTACAAATAAATAAATAGATTAAAGTGCCTTACCATATATATATATATATATATATATATATATATATATATATATATAATTGATTTCACCTGTTTGTTTTTTCATTTTTCAGTGTGGCTACTAGAAAATGTAAAATCACACACGTGTCTTATGTTAGATTTCTATTGGCTAGCACTGGTCTGTAGCATGAGATGGCTCGTTCGTTTGCGCATTTGCTATGTCTGCTTTCACACTGGGTTGAGTAGTTTCAACAGAGACCGGATGGCCTGCAAAGCCTTCAGGGTTCACTCTCAGGCCCTTTACAGAAGACCCCTGCCTACCCCTTTGTCCACAGTAATGGGCAGGAAGGCCAGCATGTGAGTAGAGGGGCAGGTTGGTGGGTACCTGTGCATTATATGTCTAAATAAAGTTAATTATCCACCAATGTCAAAAGGGAGGTGCTGTTTTATAAATATAGAATCTAAGACTAAGAAAAGCCACATGCTTAGAGTAACGTAGCAATAAAGCTACAGGTCAGGGACTTTAAACTCTGTTATGATTCTGAGAGCACCTCTGTTTGCTCTAGTGCTTGGAGAAAAAGCTTGGTGGTCAAATCTTTTCCAGTGATTTCTTAAACATATCTAAGTTGAAACACAGAGAAGCATTCATCAAGAGAGATACTCACCATACTGCTGAAAGGACCTTGGTAGAATCTTCTGGGGTTGACACACATATCTGTGATTAAGAGGGCAATTCCAATCACAGAAAAGATTGCACTGACGATGTTCAAGCCCAAGCTTCCATTCAGCTGAAAAAGACACAGAGGGTCCAGGCGGGAGAGGAAAATAATTGTAGCGGAGATGAGCAGAGCCTCAGCCAGTGTTTCTTACTGTGAATTCCCAGAACCCTAGTTCTGTAGAAAGTAAAGCGGTATTCTGTACTCAAAAGGTTTGGGGGTAAATTAACTTAAAAAACAAACAAACCTGGTTGCACAAATTTAAACAGGTATTTTGTGCAAGACTTGTCATAGCCTTTAAGAAAGATTATGGGCCCTGGCTAGTTTTGTTCAGCGGTTAGAGCGTCGGCCTGCGGTCCGGAGAGACCCGAGTTCGGTTCCCGCTAAGGGTGTGTATCTCGGTTGCAGTTTGTCCCCGGCACTGGTTGGTCGTGAGGGTGGCAGCCACTCGATGTGTCCCTTTCACGTCGATGTTTCTCTCTCTCTCTCTCTCTCTCTCTCTCTCTCTCTCTCTCTCTCTCCCTCTCATTCTATCTGAACAAAAAATGGAAAAATGTCCTCGGGTGAGGATAAAAAAAAAAAAAGGATTATGGATCTTCCAGAGAGGGGACTACTAAATAGAGAGTCCCCCCCCCCCCAAATTTACCTAACCATCTTCATAAAGTATCTTCTTGAACAATTATCCTGAAGGTTGATCTTTGGGAGACACTTGCCCCATGTATCGCATAGGAGATGGCCAGGAAAGTCAGCCCAAGTGTCTTGGGATGCCACAGGCTCTCATGCTCCATGATTCTGGGCCACTTGCAGAAAGGCACGCCCAGAACAGAGCTTCCCTTTGGAGATTTTCAAATAGATCTCATCTGGTGTGGGACTAGGCCATCCTGGGGTGCCTTGTCCCAGAAAACCTGCTTGTGAGAGAAACAAAGGTACGTTCTTGTTCCATTGCTAGGGACCCCCCAGCCTTGCCCACGTGATGGACAGAGCTTGGACAGTGTGATTCCTTAGGGAAGCCTCTGCCTGAGCCTTCCCTGCAGAGATGCCTGGAGGTCGCTCTGTGTTCTCTGGATAGTCTCAGTGACTGCTCTGCTGGAGGGGAGCCCTGCGCCCCTGGCAGCTTTCAGCCTCCTCCTGTTAGATCCTCTTAGGAAAGTTGTTCTGTCTCTCCACACCCTGGTGCCTTCGTGAAGGTGGCTGTATTGCCCTTCCTTCCCTGAATCTTCTGGACTCTTTCCCGCTTGTGACTCTGGCCAGGTTCGCGTGATCTTGTGAGTATAGGTAAGCATGCATGTCAGTGCCCTGTGTTTGGGTAGAAGTAGATGCAGGGATTAGGGAGTAAGTGAGTGTGAGCTTCTTTCTAGTTGTGTGTCTCTCCTACGGGTCCACATCTGGGGGAGCCTGTCTCAGGATGCGACTTACCAGGCAAGAAGAATTTGGCAGACTTTCTGATGTCACTGTGAGGGATCCTGTAATGATGAACTGGCGAAGAAGAGAAGGAGTTTAGAAAGAGGTCAGAGGTCATGGCCCCCTCCTTCAGGGTTCTGTGGTCACACACATATTCTCTCACACACCAAAGGTACCTCTGCTGGGACCTCCCCCTCAACTCGTGGAAAAGAATGAATGAATGAAGGATGAATGAGCTCTTTCACCACATGACAGGGCAGTGAGCTGGGATCAATACAGATTTCAGCATTCAGCAGATCTAGTTGGAGGGTCTGCCTTGAGACCCATGTGATCTTGATAGGCTATTAATATTTCGAAGTCTATATTTTCTCATCTAAAAAATGGAAACAGTATGTCTTCCAAAGTGTCATTAATTATCAGGCGCTAATTAGTCCCTTGCATCTAGCATTTGGCATATCTTGCATCTAGTAGATCCTGTACACAGTAGACACTCAATTAAGTTACTTCTTTCCTTGCCTTTCATTTTCCCACCTGCACATCTTGTTGGTCTCCCGACAAGATTCTGTCAGGCATGGGGGCTCTGGAGGGAAGAAGGGAGGGGTTCCCTGCATTTTCATCGCTTTTAGATGAAAGCCTGTCTTCAGTCCTTGCCTGTCTGTAATCTGATGAGTACCTTGTAGTTACCGAGAAGAATGTTGCATCTCTGCACTGCTGAGCATCAACTCTGAGGGTGATGGAGTAGATTGTGTATTTATTTCAACCCCGATGTTCTGTAGGCACAGTGGCAGGCGGGACTCCCTGCTGTCAGTGAGGGTCTGAGTGGGTGTCAGCTATGGTTTAACGAAAGTTCTGCTGAGTCCATGAAGTGCTCTTCATTCTTGCCTTACTTAACTAGACGATGGTCATCAAACACTTAATTATCCCTATTTTATAGAGGCGTGGACTGAAGCTTAGAGATGTTGAATAACTCACCCAAGACCATCTAGCAAAGAGCAGATCTGGGGATCAAATCCTGGTAGTGGACTCCAGATGCCATGGTGTTAACCTTCCCCCTACACTCCTTACCCCTCAGGGTAGATGCCTGTCCTTGGAGTGTAAATGGGAATTCACAATGAAAACGCACTCTAGCTGCCTGTGCCTTCTAAGGCGAATGCCATTTATCCTGTAAGTGCAAAGACAAATGTCAATCATCTGTCCTTTTGCTGATAGAGTGTTGATGGGGAAGGAAGGATACACAAGGCTGGACTTCTAGTGTCCCTGCTTGTGCCTAAAAAGATGGGCCTTTTGTTTGGAGGAGGAGGTTAATGATCTTTGGACATAGAAAGACAGGCCTGGAGTAAAGACAGCAGGGAAGAGCAAAAGTGCCCCTCAGAAAAAAGGGAGTGTGGTGTCGTGCACGCTGACGGGACCTGAGCAGCTTGGTGAGAGGGGAGATGGTCAGCAAGGCATTGGGTGACTTAAGAGAATCTAACACACGATATCAACTCTTTCGTGGCTGTGGTGTTAGTTTTGCACATTGCCTCATACTCCACTGAAGCCTGTTATACATACAGGCATCTGGCTGACTAAGTTCCAAGTCTAGGTCTGTGGAGAACAGAAACCAGACCTTAGCCTCAGGAAATGAAATGCGAAACAAGGCTGTGTAGGCACTTGGGTAAATGTCCCCAAGAACATAAGCCCTGCCATTTTGTAGGTGCTGCATGTGTGAGGGTAGTGGTTAACCCTAGGCTATCCTATTTAAATCTCATGGGATAGGGTGACTTGGCTGATGATGTTCAGGTTACTCTGGAGTTTTGCTATTTGTGAGAAAAGTTGCATTGAGTCACAGATAGCTGTGTGAGTTGAGAGACAGACTGTGTTATAGCAGGTAGAAAAGGTGATGATGGGGAGAGGGGAGGAGAAGGAGGGATTGGGTTTATGTGTGCGTGTGTGCATATGTGTAGGAGGGAGGACAGTAAGGACAATGCTAAAGAATCGTACAGGCAATACACTGGAGTAGAACAGGACCTGTGGTTCTTAACCTTTTAGGGGCTCTAGATCACACTGAGAATGTGATCAAAACTATTGGCTTTTCCAGAAAACAACAACAACATCTAATGTGCCAAATAGTTTTCCATGAGGTGGATTCTGAGCTCGTCTTCAGGATCCAGGTTGAGCCCCCATGCTTAGGGAGTATTCTGTGGCCGGGTGGTCACTCTTATCCATTGGTGAAAATGTTTTCCCTGGAGTCCCGGCTGTGGGCCTGTGTTGTAGAACACGTGAATGCTATTCCCAATACACAGTTTTATGTGTGGGTGTGTTGTATGAATGAGAAAAGGTGCAACCTATGGGATGATGAACTGGAAAATATTTTCTGACCTCTGAGGTGAACTAATTAGAAAAGATGTCCACTCTCAGTCGATAGCCTCTTCTAGGGCTATGACTTGTTATTAAGAGCTGAATTTTGTCTCCTAATTCTTTTTTTGAAGTCCTGATGCTTAGTACCTTCAAATGTGACTGTGTCGATGGTTTCAGACTCACTATAGTTTGACTTATATATATATTTTTACTTTATAATGGTGTCTAAGCGATATGCATTCAATAGAAGCTGCTCTTTGGATTTGAATTTTGATCCTTTCCCAGTGAACAATATGTGATAAGAGACTCTCGTGTGATGCTAGGCAGTGGCAGCCAGCCCCAGTTCCTAGCCAGCCGCACGATCACCAGGGTGAACAGTCCATTTTCTACAATGTGGTGTTTAATGTATTTTTGACTTAAGATATTTTTAATTTATAATTGGTTATTGAGATATAACCCCATTATAAGTTAAGGAGCATTGGTATGTGAAGATAGGGCCTGTAAAGACGTGATAATCATTACACGAGGTCATAGGGGTGGGCACTACTCCAATGTGACTGGTATTGTTATAAAAGGAGATATGAGGACAAGGACACACACAAAGGGAAGACCTTGTGAAGACACGGGGGAAAGTTGCCCATCTTCAAGCCAGGGAAAGAGGCCTTAGAAGAAATGACCCTTGACCTTGATACCTTGACCTTGGCCTTCCAGCCTCCAGAACTATGAGATAATAAATGTCTGTTGTGTAGCCGCCCAGTCTGTGGTGTTTGCTTAGGCTGCCCAAGCACCTGATGTTCTTGGTGAACAAGGCCTGTGCTGGGTTCACAGCCCACATGCTCTCTCTGCTGGCAAACTTCTGCAGCAAACTCCACACGTTGACGAGGTGGGCCTCAGTGTGTTGGCACTTTCTGGAACTTACTTGCAGGGTGACTCACATGACTTACCATGATGCCTCCCCAGAAGGGATAGCCTCCGATGAATGACACAGCTGCATAGTCCATGATGAGGGTCCCCAAGATGCTGCCGAGGCTGATGTGTATCAGGCCGATCAGAATCTGTATGGCCTGTCAGGGGAGTCACAAGATAGTCACATTTTAATAAAATTAAAATTTTAATTTCCCCACCTAGAAAATACTACTGCTTACATTTTGGTGTATGACCGTCCATTATTTCTTTCTTTCTTTTTTTTAAAACCTATCTTTAGTGTTGACTGTATGACAGATGTTCCTCCTTCTTCCCCAAAGACCCCCTCCCTACTCCTTCCCCTTTTCTGCCTCCCCCACACTATTGTCTATGTCCATTGGTTACTCATATATGCATGTAAGTTCTTTTGTTTATCTCTTCCCACCCCTCTTTCCCCTTCTTTTTGAGGTTTGTCAGTCTAACAACCAACTGTACTTTTTAATTCCTTCAACATTTCACCCATTCCCTCAACCCTCCTGCCATCTGGCAACCAACACAAAGTCCTCTGTATCTATGAGTCTGTTTCTGTTCTACTTGTTCATTTTGTTTGTAGATTCAATTGTTGATAGATCTGCATTTATTGTCATTTTATTGTTCATATTTTTTATCTCCTTCTTTCTTCACGAAGACCCTTCAACATTTCATATAATACTGGTTTGGTGGCGAGGAACTCTAGCTTTTTCCTGTCTGGGAAACTCTTTATATATCCACTGATTCTAAATGATAGCTTGGCAGTACAGAGTAATCTTGGTTGTAGGTTCTTGCTTTTCATCACTTTGCATATTTTTGCCACTCCCTTCTAGCCTGCAAAGTTTCTTTTGAGAAATCAGCTGATAGTCTTATGGGAGCTCCCTTGTAGGTAACTGCTTTTCTCTTGCTTCTTTTAAGATTCTTTCTTTGTCTTTAACCTTTGGCATTTTGATGATGATGTACCTTGGTGTGGACCTCTTTGGGTTCATCTTGTTTGGGTCTTTCTGTGCTTCCTGGACTTGTATGTCTGTTTCCTTTACCAAATTATGGAAGTTTTCTGTCATTATTTTTTCATATAGGTTTTTAATTCTTGTTCTCTCTCTCCTCCTTCTGGCACCCTCATGATGTGAATGTTGGTACATTTAAAGTTGTCCCAGAGGCTCTTAACACTATCCTCATTTTATTTCGGATTCTTTTTTCTTTTCGCTGTTCTGATTGGGTGTTTTTCCTTCCTTATATTCCAAATTGATGGTTTTCTTCTTGGCTTTGCCTACTTTACTATTGATTCCCTGTACATTATTCTTTATTTCAGTTAGTGTTTCCTTCATTTCTGACTGGCCCTTTTTTTATGCTCTTGAGGCCCTCACTAAGTTCAATGAGCATCCTTATAACCAGTGTTTTGAACTCTACATCTGTTAGATTGCTTATCTCCATTTTGTTTAGTTCTTTTCCTGGAGTTTTGTTCTTTTCTTTCATTTGGGACATATTTCTTTGTCTCCTCATTTTGGCTGCCTCCCTGTGTTTGTTTCTATGTATTAGGTAGAATTGTTAAGTCTTCTAGGCTTCTTAGGGTGGTCTATTGTAGTAGGTGTCCTGCAGGGTCCAGTGGCACAGCCTCTCTGATCACTTCAGCTGTGCCCTTGAGGTGTACCCCTCATGTGGACTATATACCCTTCTATTGCAATTGACTCTTGATTACTGTTGACATGTCAATGGGAGGGGTTTACTTAGGCTGATCAGCTGTAAGGACTGGCTGTGTCCACTGACCTCTGACTTCTGACCACCTTAGAGGACTAACTGTGCAGGGGTCCACCACATAGAGGAAGACTTACTTGAGCAGGGCTCTAGTACCCACTGAGTCCATTCCTTGAGTATGTCACTTGTGGAGGTGGTTGGGTGGTAGTGTTTCACCATGGTCTGAAGCTGTCCACTGGGTGTGCTGGCTCTGGGGCAAGGCCAGCCACTGTCTCTGTTCTACCCAGGGCCACCTGGATTAAGCTACAAAGCGGTCTGCAGGTGGCTGCTTGTTGTGCTGGGCTTGGAGGTGCCCAGGAAAGCCAAGCTGTGAACTAAGGCTGGCTGCTCCTAGTGCTGGGCATGGGTCCAGTTAGTGAGAAGTATGGGGCTCGCTGAGGCCAGATGCTGCTTTTTTGAGAGAATTTAGGAAAATCTGACACAGGAGCCAATACAGGCATTTCTATGGCAAAGCTACTGGAAATAGCTTGGGTTGGCCTGAAAGTTGGGTGGGGCAGGGCCTCAGGAAATCACCAGGGTAGAGCAAACAGTGTGAGCCAGGTTGCTAGTGTCCCAGATATGGCACCGGGCTGCTTGCCCTGTGGGGGAAGGGCTCACCTAAGGTACAATGGCCTCTGTCAGCATGTCTGTCTGGGAGAAAGCTGCCTTACAGCTCTTGCCCTGATGCCAAACAACTCAGTTCGTCCTGGTATGTCTCTGGTGCCTTTCAAATTGCCTCCTCCACACTGGAGCCTGGAGGGTGCCCGGCTAAGTATTTCTGTATGTGGCCCTTTAAGAGGAAATGCCTGGGGCTGCAGCAGCCCCAGCCTCCTCAGCTTCAGTTGCTGCTGGTTTTTACAGCCAAAATTATGGGGACCTCTCTTCCTGGCACTGGAATCCTAAGCTGGGGGCCCCTCACTCCTCAGAGAGGACCTTCACAGCTGAGGGGTCCCTCCTGATATTTATCTGCCCCACATATATATCATTCTTGAGATATATAATACATTCATTAAATCAGTGTTATAATGTTGAACATTTTGGTTGTTCCACTTTTTCTTATTGTAACAGGGTATAGGGTATAAAAAAACCTCACACCCAATTAACTAATTGAGGATTAAAAATAAGAATATGCTAATAAGACTTATAGTCTAAAATATTAGTAGTTTTATCTTAAACCTGTCACAGGTGGCAGCAGTTCCAGTTCCTCATTTCGATGACCTGTACCACAGAAGTGTAGTAGATGCCAACTTTGTAGTTGTAGGACTTCCATTCAGCTCGGTTACAGGTAGTTTTGAATGATGGTTGTTGTGTAGTTTAGTTGTAATTTTATGTGGCTGTGGGAGGAGGTGAGTACTGCATTTAGCTACACTGCCATCTTGATCAGAGTCATTATTTTTTTTTCAAATATATACACTGTTAATATAAAATGTCCCTGCATATTTAACTTAATAGTACATCAGAAACACATCCTCATGGAACTAATTCTTCTTTAAACATATGCTTTAAAGAATTACCCAGATTCCACTATGTGGATGTGTTGTGGAGTATTTGAAACAGAGATATTGGGCAGTTAAGATTGTTTCCATATTTAAACAACAATGTGATGAACATCTTTGTAGATAAGTCTCTTATCTTTATGATAATGTTTAGGATTGAATTATGTCTGCCTCTCCTCCATCAAATTAATATGTTGCAGTTCAAGCCCCCAGTACCTCAGAATGGGATCTCATTTGGAAATAGGGTTGCTGCATATATAATTAGGTAATATGAGGGATATTAGGATAGGGTGCTCCCTAGAGGACTGCTATTCTTTTAAAAGATTGCCATATTAAGAGACTCACATGCACACAGGGGAATGTCAAGATTGGTGTTATTCTGCCAAAACCCAAGGACCTCCAGAAGCTAGGAGACTGGACTGGAATAGATCATCCCCTAGAACCTTCAGAGGAAGCATGGCCTAATGGATGTCTTGGTTACCAACTTCTGGCCTCCTGACCTGAGACAGTTAATTTCTGTTGTTCTAAGCCACCCCATATGTAGTACTTTGTTAAGGCAGCTCTAGGAAACTAATATATATATTCTTGGCCAAATGATGTATATAGATCCGTATATGTACATGTATATGTATATGTATATGTATATGTACTACAAATATGGCAGTGAATATAAATATATTATTTCCTTAAATTTGCAGAAATGGTAGAATATTATATGAAATGTCTGCTCTGAATTCTTTTCTCATTAATGATATAGCTTGTGGGTATGTCCATATCATTACACAAAGAGCTAAGGAGCTTTTTCTATTGAAAGGAGAGAGAGATTTTTTTATTTAAAAAATATGTTATTGTTGATTTTAGAGAGAGAGGAGGGAAGTGGAGGGAGGGAGAGAGAGAGAGAGAGAGAGAGAGAGAGAGAGAGAGAGAGAGAGAGAGAGAGAGAACCACTGATGAGAAACCTCAATTGGCTGTCTCCTGCACTCCCCCTACTGGGGATCAAGACTGCAACTGGGGCATGTGCCCTGACCAGAAATTGTACTGGCTACCTCTCAGTACATGGGATGATGCTCAACTTACTGGGCAAGGAGCTTTCTTTTTATATCTCTACAACATTTCATTCTTTAGATATATAATACATTGATTTAACCAGTATTATATTGATGAACATTTTGGTTGTTCCACTTTTTCTTATTGTAACAGGGTATAGGGTGTAAAAAAAACCCAACAACTCATACCTAATTAACTAATTAATCAAGAATTAAAAGTAAGAATGTACTAATAAAACTTATAGTCTAAAATATTAAGTTTCATATTTAATCATGTCACAGGCAGCAGCAGTTCCAGTTCCTCATTTTGCTGGCCTATACCACAGAAGTGTAGTAGATGCCAATGGATGGCCAGGCCTGTAATATCCTAGAAATAAATCCCACAGAGAGAAAAAAAGCCAGATGTTGACAGACAGGAGAGAAAACATTGAAACCACATGAGGCCAGCAATATGACATGGCATGTGGCCAGAATTCCTTAGTTCCTGTTTCTACAACCCTCCTATAAAAACCTTTTGCTTCCCAGAGATGTTAAAATGGTTGTTAAGGCATGGACCTGCCATTTTCTCAGGTAATCGGCACCTGAATAAATCACTTTCCTACCATCAGCACCTGTATTGTGTGTTTGGCTTCACGGCAGCAGGCAAAAGAACCTGAGGTTCATTTGGGCTGGTTTCACTATCACAAACCATGCTGCAATAAATACCTTCATACATGTCATATTTCTCATGTGAATAGACAGGTCTGCAAGACAAAGTCTCAGAAATGGAATAATTGGGTATTTCAAAATTTGGCAGATACATATAGCCATCCATACAGGTTGTATCTATTAACATTACTATAAGTAGTATATGGGTGTAGAGCTAGGATCTGAACCCAGGCAGACTGGATCAGAATCCATGTGTGTTATCATTCAGCTATTCAATGAAATCGTCCTCCACTTGTCCTACCCAGGACAGACTTTTAGGGCAAAATCATCATGAGCTCTTATTTTGTTCCCATTGGGCAAAGATTTAATTTAGGCACATTGAGTTTAGACTCCAACTTCTAGCTTGCTGCACCCATCTTCTTCCAGAGGCCACATAGGTCAACCTGGATTGGCATCAGGACCAATGTTCCAATTTACTGCTTCTTTGTTGCTTTTCATTCTCTTTCCTAAAATGCCTCAGACAGAAAATACAAAGCCCCATACTGAAACCCTGATGATGCTCCTCAACTGAGTTTCTTAATGAATTTGGTGAGTTCAAGTCACCCCCAAGTGCTGGATTAGGAGTTTCTGTATTTCCAAACCTCCTCCATTCCCTGTGACCCTGTGCGTGCAGTGTGAAATTTCACTTACCCCAAAAACTTTGCCCTCTTTCAAGGTTCTCTGTGCAGGTTGCATACCCAAAGGTGGCAATCCTTGTGGGTTCCCAGGAACTACATAAAGTTGGGACTGCTGGACTCGATACAGGGGCACCTGAGACATGCTTCCTGGGGCCCCATGGGGTGCCGTCACAAACACAGAGGTGGCCACACTGCCTGTTGAAGTCATCGGGTCCATGCTGCTAAAAAGTAAATGCAGTGGTGTCATCCTTCACATGTACACTACTGTTTACACTGAGAAAGGACTTATGTTTTCATTAACTCATTTGAGCATCTCAGGTCCCTATGAGCTTATAGTTTTGGAGATATTAGGTAGCAGTTAGTGGGCACGCACGCAGTCAATGCTTCACAAATACATGTCCTGAATCCTCACACCTGCCCACTTTCACAGGAGAGAAAACTAAGGCCCAAAGCAATTAAGCACTACAGGGGCCAAGAGGTGTGTCGTTTCGTTTTTGTATCTTTTACCATGCTTAGCAGGATGTTTTGCACATAGTGGTCTCTCAACATTGCAGAGCTGGAGAGTCTCTTGGAGAACACAGGCCAATTCTCTCAATTTCTGTAAAAGGCAACTGAGGCTGGGAGTGTGGATAGGCATCCCCCTAGGTCCTAGTCATTTACATAGTTGTTAAATGGGGATCCTTTTCCTCCAAGAAAGCCCATTGCCAAGGCAGAATACATTCATTGGGGGTTTCATGCTGCTCAATTTTCTAGGTCACTTGTGAATTCTGGTGTGGTTAAAAAAATTTTTCTTTGCTTCTTTCTTCTTTTCTTTTTTTTTAGGGACACAAAGTTAATTAACTTTACTTTGCTTGTTCCACTATAAATTTCATTTGGATACAGAACTCTTATGTTTCATGCAGGAAATTTAGAGAAAAAGTTAAAATGAATTGTAGTAACATACTCAGAAGCAAGTTCTAAACACAGGTTAGGTAAAGGTAGTGACTCACAGAATACCACACCAGCAACATAACAGAGATAGATTTGAACACAAGATGGTATAGTAAATCCTCAGGAACACTCTAGAAGTTGGCATCTCTGGTAATTGGATATGTTAGTAGGACTCTCAGCTATAGAATATTCTAAAATGACTTAATTTGCTCACTTGAATCTCCCATTTGAGATGTTGAATTTTTTGAGGCATTCTGCCAGGTGGGTTTTATGATCTATTTTCCTGTTCTTCAGATACTACTTGTACTTTCTCCTGAACACCATAAACTGATATACATATATTTACTGAAATACTTTATCCCCAGGATGTCTCTTGTACAAGGTTCCAAGGTCCTATACAATAGTGACAATATTCATTAGTTTTAAGTATAACTGCTACCCCTGAGTATCTGGTAAGTAACTTCGAATCACGTCATTTTAACTACAGTTTGTTCTCAAGAAGCTCTCACAGATCTTTACACGCATATTTTCTAGTTTTTATAATAACTCTGTGGGGAAGATTCTATTCTTGTTTTTGAGAAAGTAACTAAAGATCCTAAGAAGCCTGAAACACCAATCAGGAAGAATATATGTACCCCTATGTTCATAGCAGCACTATTTACAATAGCTAAGATTTGGAAACAGCCCAAGTGTTCGTCAGTAGATGAGTGAATAAAAACACTGTGGTACATGTACACAATGGCATACTATACAGCTGTAAAAAAGAGAGCTATCTCTTACCCTTTGACACGACGTGGAGGGAACTGGAGAGTATTATGCTAAGTGAAATAAGCCAGCCAGAGAAAGACAAGTACCACATGATCTTACTTATTTGTGGAACATAATGAACAAAATAAGCTGTTGACCAAAAGAGATTCAGAATCACAGAAGTAGGGAACAGACTGACAAACCTCAGAGGGATGGGGGTGGGAGGGGAGGGAAGAAATAAACCAAATAACTTATATGCTTATATTCACAACCAATCAACATGGACACTAGGCTGGGGAAGGCAGGAGGGGGGTGGGAGCGGGAAGGACGGGGTCAATGGGGAAAAGGGGGACATCTGTAATACTTTCAACAATAAAAAAAAGAAGTTTCAGTATTTCCAATTTAGGGTCTTATGAAGCAGATTTTTTTTTTATTTTTATTCTTACCTGAGGACATTTTTCCATTTTTTTTGTTCAGATAGAGTTGGAGGAAGAGAGAGAGAGAAACATCCACGTGAAAGGGACACATCGAGTGGCTGCCACCTGCACAACCAACCAGGGCCGGGGACAAACTGCAACCGAGGTACGTGCCCTTAGCGGGAACCGAACCCGGGTCTCTCTGGACAGGGTCTCTCTAACCGCTGAGCCAAACTGGCTAGGGCTGAAGCAGATATTTTAAACAATCTCTCTAGCTGCAAACTTTTCATGATGTTTCTTAAAGAATGGCACTTTGTATTACAAGTTATCATAATTTTAGCAGCTTACAACAGAATTCATTTTTTATTAACTCATCTTTGCTAGGTCAGAAGTCTGGCATGGCGTGGCTGGGATCCCTGATCAGGGTATGACAAGGCTGAAAGCAAAGTGTCTAACAAGACTGAATTCTTTTTCTTTCTCTCTTTTTTTTTAGAGCAGACTCACAAAGAAAGCACAATAAAACCACCCACACCCAGGGTTATCACAAGTCTCATTTGGATGAAAAACTTTATCAGCATCCCTCCTACCATTCTATTAGGTATACTCACTTTTCTTTGACAGCAGCTAAGTCTCTCTTGCCCGTCTCCCACAGTGCTTGCTGTAGGCAACTTTTTTTCCCAGAAGGGCTCAGAGTTTCTGAAAGAGCAAACACTGGGTTCTGTTGGAAAGTATCTTTACAAAGATACAAAACAAGGTGCTTCTCTTAAGTGGCAGGGCACGTCCTCAGCTGCCTAGAGCTCACTTTCCCACCCACATTTATTGACAAGGAACCAAGGAAATGCAATTCCATTGGTTAAGTGTTTAACAGTCCTGTGTGGTTCAAAAGGGTTGTGCTTGTGGTCAGAGAGACACAGTAATGAACTAGGTAATGTATATAGCTGTGTGTAACACAAAATAACAAATGCCCCAGACGAGAAACAGAAACTCAGTCATCATGTGATTTCTTCCATGTGCGGTTTTAACACTGGTTTCTGAGAACAGGAAGTTCAGTAGATTGTCTGTTGGTCCCCCACCCACTGTTTGTGGTCAGGGTAGTTCCTTGGCCAGGTAAAGACTGACTACAATACGCTTATTAAGAAACTGCCAATATGTGAATTCCTTTTATCAGCTTGTTAGTATATTTTATTCTATTTCCATTTCATGGTTAGTCAAAGTAGTAGAAAGTTTTTATTCCCTGTTCCAAATTATTCTATCACTTGGGATTTCTCTACGCCCTGCCCACATTTTGGAGGAAGCCCCAGTATTAAATGTCCCTCGGATTATCCTATTTGACGGTTCCGTTGCAGTCTGACTAGTTGCCTGACTGCTGTAACAAAAGAAAATGGATCTGGATGGGCACGTGTAGTCCGCTTCTATCCTCGTTCTCCCCACCCTGCCCCAAATGGAGGCAAGCATACATCTATGGCTAGTTTTTGTTTAAAGGAAGAACTTGGAGGCCTAGTCATGAAAATTAACACAGAGCTCCCAGTAAATACGTGAGGACTTGTCCTCCCCTGGAGAAGCCCTGGATTAGAGAAAGCTCAAGGCAGTGCTGTGAACATGATTTTTTTTTCTGTTGAATGGATACATTTTTCTACTTTCTCTGTGGATAAAAAACAGTGCATACGCCCTGGCCAGTTTGGCTCAGCGGTTAGAGCGCCGGCCTGCGGTCTGGAGAGACCCGGGTTCGGTTCCCGCTAAGGGCATGTACTTCGGTTGCAGTTTGTCCCCGGCCATGGTTGGTCGTGCGGGTGGCAGCCACTCGATGTGTTCCTTTCACATCGATGTTTCTCTCTCTCTCTGTTCCCCTCTCTCCCTCCCACTCTACCTGAACAAAATGGAAAAATGTCCTCGGGTGAGGATAAAAAACAAAAAACAAACAAACAAACAAAAAAAAAAACAGTGCATACAATCTCCAACTTGCCTTATAACTAAAAAACGTTTTTCATTGCTAAAGCAAGTTTTTCTTCCCCTCTTATGAAAGTCTTTGCGAATTGAGAGCTGGGAGTGGGGAATGCGTGAGGATGTAATTTGTACGAATATAGTAAATAAATTAATAAGTTGGTTGTCAGAATCTTGTAATGATTTTCTACTTTGAAAAGATTCATCCCAAGTGCAAAAATCTAATAAAGTTGTGGTTTAAAAATGAGGATTACATTTTGAAATTATAAAATGAAATAATGTTTAAATACTACATGAAATAAATGTTTGAGCAGGGTTCAGTTTTTAAAAGCATAAACCCTTTTATTGCCTAACAATTTTTTAATGAGCAAAAGAGACAACTTAATGTTGAGTAGTCCCAAGTTCTCTGCCTCGTTATAGCATGAAGAACAATAACCTGCAAATCGACAAGCTAACAATGAGTAGTTATAAAGATGAAATTTGAGAAAAGAAGGATGTAGTACTAAATGTCAGTGATTTTAGAAGGGACATGAAATGTAATAAACTGTTATGTGTGTGACCAAATAGCTGCCATACTAGGGAGTGCAGTTAATATACTGGTATTTTCTCAGTATTCACCTCTAGATTTCCAGAATGCTTCTGCCTGAATTCAGGCTCTAAATTGTCATCTTCCTTATATTTTGCTTATTTCTACGGGAAAATTATATATTCTTTCCATTTTAAAATCATTTTGAATTTTCAGTTACGTTGACATACATTATTATATTAGTTTCCAGTGAGTATACGTTACGTAATTTACTAAGTGATCATCCCGATAAACTTTTCACCCATCTGAAACCATGCATAGTTGTTAGAATATGATTGACTATATTCCCTGTGCTACACTTTACATCCTCATGACTGTTCTGTAAAAACCAATTTGTTCTTCTTAATCCCTTCACTGTTTTCATGCATACTCCTGCCGAGACCTGCGCAGCTAGTCAAACCAGACCTGAGGAGGGGCAACAGGAGATTAAGAAGGACACAGAGACATTATACAGAGAAAAGCTGGGGCCAGGTGGGACAATGCTCTTGGATGGAGAAACCGTGACCCTGAGCTAGCTCAGCGTGTTTATTATATAGCAATAATGAAGGGGGAAAGTTCAAAAACTTCATTATCGTCAAACACCAGATGTTTCCACCAGCCTCTGAACTCAAGGTCGATACTGTCCATACGTTCCTGCCCGCGGCTCAGAAGGCTCCTGCGTAGGCCTTGCCAGCACACAGGATCAACAGGAGGCCTTGGGCAGAAAGCTCCTGGGTGAGATTTGCAAACACCACAGGAGCAACAAGAGGCCTTGGCTCAGCCACCCTCCACATGCCCCCAAACCTCTCCCATCTGGCAACCATCAAAATGTTCTCTGTATGGATGAATCTATTTCTTTCCTGCTTGTTCCTTTATTTTGTATTTTAGATTCAATTCTTGATAGATACGTATTTATTGCCATTATATTTTTTATATTTTAAATCTTTTTTCCCCCTTCTTAAAGAAGACACTTTGACATTTCATATAACACTGGTTTGGTGGTAATAAATACCTTTAGCTTTTTCTTTTCTGGAAAGCTCTTTATGTCTCCTTTGATTCTAAATGATAGTGTTGCTGGGTAGACCAATCTTGGTTATATGTCCTTGCTTTTTATCACTTTTAATATTGCCAATTGCTTCTGGCCTGCAAAGTTTCTGTTGAGAAATCAGCTGACAGTCTTACGGGAGCTCTGTTATAGGTAGCTAATTGCCTTTCTCTTGCTGCTTTTAAGATTGTCTCTTTGGCCCTGGCTAGTTTGGCTCAGTGTTTAGACTGTCAGCCCATGGACCAGAGAGTCCCAGGTTTGGTTTTTGCTAAGGGCACGTACCTCAGTTGCAGTTTGTTCCCAACCCAGGTTGGAGTTGTGTGATGGCAACCACTTGATGTGTCTCACTCACATCAATGTTTCTCTCTCTCTCTCTTCCTCCCTCTCTCCCTACGTAAGTCTAAAAGACATAATTCTCCCACATAGTTTTGCTTAAGATAAGTTGTTTGACTTCAGCTCTACGTGGTATCAAGCAAGAAACATTCCCGCATATTTTCAGGTTACCTTAGTTTAGAAGTAATACTTCTATTCCTCAATTCTAGCTAAACTTGAGTCCCCCAGAGAGGGTTCTTAACAGAAGCTGTTTTATCCTGATCTGAAAGCTAGAAGCACAATGACTCACTCTCTTCACTATATTCTGCGTGATGCAAGGCTTGCATAATTCAGCTGACAATCAAGCCTGCAATGATCAGTTCTGAGATGGCACTGAAGAGTAAAAATGGTAAAAGCATACTACTGGCCATCTGAATTAAAAAGGATAAAAATATTCTTCATGCTAATTAACCATTTAAAATTATACAAGAACCACATGTAGAAAACAGGCAGTAAATATCAGTCATCATATCAGTCTCACACAACTATAATTATCTCAGGGTATTTTCCATAACAACAAAATGTGTTTTAAATTTACTGAATACTTATTCATGTACCACGTAGTATGTTAAGTATTTCAATTCTAGCAACAACCCTACAAGTTGGGTACTTTTATTTCTATATTACACGTGACAAAACTGAAAAGTACAGAGATAACCTATCACACTACAGGCTGTTGGGAGTCTTCAGGGTTTGGTACTGGGTACCTGTCAGTTTTGCTGTTTTCGTTCTCTCTTTTGGTGAAGCTGATTGCATGATCTGTGTTTTAGGCTTTTCCATTAAATGCATGTAGAACTTTCAGGTTCTATTTTCTTTTAACTTACGTTATAAATATTATTGCGCATGGTGGATGGAACCGTTCTCTCACTCTTTCCACATTTCTACCATGGCCCAAAATAGGAGTTTCTGCTCTCTTAGAGCTGGCTGAAGAATGGCTTTGGTGAGTCCCAGTGCTTTTCACGTACAAATCTCCAGGTGAGAAGGAGGGGTTTATCTAATTCATGATTCTGAGAGAAGGAACACAGATCCTCCGGGTTCTCCTTTTTTCCAGAATGGTTTGTGTTTATGACCACAGGTTCTCCTTAACATCTGATAACTGACTGGTCCTAGCATGGGCAGGCTGATGGTCTAACTGTAACTAGGTGGATGAGATTAATTCATGAGGGGAGTTACCAGCAAGCTCATTTGGCCAAAGATATAAGATTTGTTCGTTAACTGTCGTAATCAACAATAAAGTGGATAGTTTTATCTGCATCTGCTTGATTCTTGTGTCTAATCTCAGTTGATTCCAAACACGAAAGAAGAGCAGGTGGCTATTTATTGGCCTCCTGTACTAGTTTTCTAAGGCCACTGTAATAAAATATCACAAATGTGTGCTTAACACAACTGAAATTTATTGTATCAAAATTATGGAGGGTAAAAGTAAAAAACCTTTAGAGGATAATTCTTCCTTGCCTCTTCCAGCTTCTGGTAGCCCCAGGTGTTACTCAGCTTACAGAAGGAATAGCTCCAGTCTCTGCCTCCATGCTTACATGACAATCTTTCTTCTGTGTTTGTGTCCAAATTTCCTTCTTCTTATAAGAATACCAGCTGTATAGGATCAGTGGCCCACCCTACTCCAGTGTGACCTCATCTTAACTTATTATATCTATAAAGACCCCATTCACAAATAATTACACCTATCTTTTGGGAGGACATGGTTCAATCCATAACAGTCTGTTCTCTACCCCACCTCCTCCCATGTTTATCTGATGCCCAACATCTCCAGGAGTTTCAACCCATTTCAATATCAACTCTAACTATCATCAAATCAAAAAGCCCCAAATCTCATCATATAAATGATCTAACTCAGCTATGAGTGACTCATAGTATGGTCCATCCTGGGACA